CTTCTAGATATAACTCCTTGCATCACACAGAAATATTTTTCAGAATATGGGGAAATTTTTCCTCTCTCTGGATCCTTGGACATCCAGCCATCCACTTGCATTTTCTGAACACTGATTTAAAAGACAGACTTTGTGTGGGCCTTGACAATTTTTACAGGGCATGTTCTATTCATCTGCATAGCATAAAAACAGTGAGTCAAATATTTCCTTGTAAGCATCATTTTTACTGTCCATTTCCTGCTTAATCAGTTCAGATTTTTCAGTGTGATGCACAGGAAGCTTGAAAATCTTGGCAGGAGGGCTGCAACCATTTGAATAAGTGAAAGAAAGTCAATTCTTCAAGGAAAGCTCTTTTTCATATTTATCTTTCCAGAGAGAACAGAGATGCTCTAAAAAAGTACATTCTGAATTCAAGATCCCTTAAATTGGAGAACTCTGTTAGGCTATTCGTACCCCTAGAAATATTACAAACCTTAATTATATCAACTTAAGTACTAAGTTCCTGCTATGGGATAAGTAAATAATAGATTATTCTCCATTTGTGACCCAGAAAATGTAATAGTGGAAGTGTCAAGATAACCAATACAACACCAGGCGATTCCTGCCAGTATCCCCATCCAGTTTCACGGACCTTTTTTAGGTTGCTGTTCTGAAGTTCTCTAAAACTATCAAACTTCAAGATCTTCTCAGAGAGAACAGAAACAATCCAACCTCTTATGTATGGTTCAAAATTTTTGTTACTTGTTGCTGATGTCTGTGTTTATTGTTGATTGTAGAGGTTTTGAGAGGAGACTTACGTAAGTGCTATTGAACTTGCTGAGGATACTTTAGGGTTTTGATCAGAACAAAAAAGAACTAAAATCTTTCTGTGTACACTAGGATTTTTCTCCTATTACTGATCCAAATAACTGTATATTAGGTGCATATATGTGTGCATGTTGTATGTACATGTATGTGTATACAAACCTAGGAGAATGCTCTAACATGGTTCATGTTAAACTTTAAGAGAAGTTTTACAAAGGGATTAATTTTAATAAGCATATTTTTTGTGGACAGCTGCTATCTTTCTGACATAAGATTCGTTTACCATTTGAAATACAATTCTTCCTGTTGCTGATTAAGTTTGTTTTGCTATGTTGCTAATGACATACATAATCGCTGTATTTTCTGAAAGAAAAGCAGTAGAGGAAGTAAATTTGCATGTGTATAAATTATATATTGAGTGTTCCAGGTGTCACAGTCATAGCAGATGTGAATTAATTCATACAACCCAGTATGAATTGGGATCTGTCTAAACCAGGTCCAGCTGCACTGCTTGTCCATGTCGAATGGCCGTGCTCATTCACTATTTCTGCACAGGACCTGTCGTTTGATCCTCAGGGTACAAGCAGCACCTTGTCATCAATGCCTTGTCAGCCGTACAACGTTGTGTTACTCTTCATAATGCCGATTGCCAGTTTTGCAAAGTTTTAACTCCTGACCATGGTTAATGCAAAGATCAGGAACATCATTTGCTTGGATACTTTTGTGAGTAGACGTTATGCCATTGTACAGTGGTGCCCAGCCAGAATTAGTGTAGAGATATATCAGTTTTGAAAAGCTAGTTAACGGGCAAGCAAATGCTGATCACCTCCAGCAGAAGGACTGGGGACAGTAATAGCAGCTTCCTCTACCCGGTTAGGAAGGGCTGTGATGGGTGCAAGGATGAAAACTTGATACAGTTCCTTCAAGACACACTGATATCTACAACATACAACCCATTTCATTCTTTGCTGTGCTTTCGGTTACAACAGAGTGAAAAAGTGTTAAGCAAAGCTAGAACAGCAACAGCAGACACATTAGCTGGATCAGAGAGGATATACGTAGATATCTAATTAAAATATCTGACTGTAGCTCTGGGCCCTTTGATTATTTACTCTTAAATCTCCCAGTGCAATGAAAATTATTCAAGCAAAAAACACAGACAAATTCAAGTACAAAAGCATCTACTGTTAATTAGTAATTTTAGGCTAGCCTTCAAACTCCTTCACAGCTTATCCTGAAAGGAACAAAACATTTCTTCTTTCAGAGGCAGCGACTAAGGCTGTGATGTTATCTTTCTATGAGTACGGCTTTGAACTGTGACATTTATTCTGGCTTCCACATTTATTCCTGTTCCTAGCTTCACACTGAAAGAGGACTTCATTCATAATTGCAGATATGCTTTTGTCACTGTTATTCAACCTTTACCTTGAGGCTTCCTTTTCCCCCATAGGAAAGTGCTTTTATGAAATTTGGTCCATTGAATTTCATGATCACTTCTGAACGCAAAGAACACTTTATGACAGCTTTATCTCTGCAACGAAGCGTACTGTTAACAGAAGGGATCTGTCCAATGCAGATTCAAATATTTTCAAAATTGTCACTGGTTGAGTGATGCTATCTATATGAAATCATTTGAGGATGTAAAGGTGAACATTTGAGGTGATGCTTTAGCCCATCTAAACTCAATGCTTTTCTAATTATTTTAGTGGAGCCTGGATTCTGTCCCTTCCTTTTACTTTTTGTTCTTCACTGAAAATATAACTAACTGATAAATAAAAATGTGAGTAACAATCCCATTCCTTCTTTTTCAACATAGTAAATGAGCAGAGAGTACCAAATAGGGGAACAGGACAGAAATAGGTGACAGGACAAAACGATCAAGTGGCTGTGAACACGGTCTGATTGACAAGTGAGGATTATTTGAGCAGCTATGAGTTCCAGAAGATGAACACTGCACCATACAAGTACAACACATCTGCACTTGTAGCTGGTCTTTGAATCTGAGTGCAGAAGAGAAATCTCTGGGCAGACAGGGCACAGTTCAGAAGGGGTTTAAGAGGTATATTGTAGTGGTGCCACTTTATAAAAATGAAGTAGCAAGGGAGAAACATAAAAATATTTACTGAGAAGAAATATAGGAGTTTAGATAAAGGGTCATGTCCCCTCTACTCTCCTTTTCCCTAAAAGAGATCCAGCTGTTGCTGCTTGTCTTCACTCAATCATCCTTTGCAAGAACCCAATTATTTTCTACTTCCCCTTCTTTCTCAGTCACATTCCTGATGATTGATTCCTGTATTTTTCTATGGATGGGAGTCTGTGAAGAAGTAAAATTCTTAAAGCCTGTCGTGCTCCTTTTCCTTTCCAGAAGGGATTCCTCTGCACTGCCTTTTAAAGAAGAAGCAAAGGAGTCAAAGCAGAAGCAGAGAGCTAGAGAGAGGATGTGGAGGATATTAGAGTGATGCAGCGAGCATTTAAAGGCAATTGTTGAGTTCCCACCAAGCTGTGCATGGCTGAACAGGGCAATGTCTGATGCCTGGATTAAAGTCTCTCATTTGTTCTGAGTAATTAAAAGGTGTCAAGCTAGTAAGAAAAAAAAATTACCTATACTTAATGAAAGGAAATTATTGAAACAATTCCAAAAGATTTGGAATCTAATCTTCCAGATAGCCCAGAAGATTAGACTGAAAACTAAGAAGAATTGATTTAAATTTTGTTAATTAGTTTTCATTTTCTGAGCTGTCCACTTACCACGGTAAATAGAACAGTACTTTTGCAGCCCCTATCTATCCCACTTTTGAATCTTTCAAGTTGTTTCCATGGCAACATCACACTAGTCCATCAAAACAATTAGCGGTAACTTTGTGTGTTACCTGATTCAGCATCTCATGACAACTAGCCTACGGGTGAGAAACACTGGGCCTGTTACCGTTCTGTCTAGTGTTTTGCAGCCTTTTGTTCAGGTTCGTGTTTCTACATTCTACTTGGTGCAAGAAAATTATTGAGGAGTAGAAGTTTTGTTAGAAAGACTTACTTCTAATGTAGGATTGTTTAATTTACTAGTTCCTCTAGCGTCTAGCTAAAGATGGGCAGAAAGTAATGTTTCAGTTAGAGAAGTCTTGTTGCAGGAGCAAGAAAGAAAACAAATTCCAAGAACAGCAATCTGCGATGCTTTTAATTGGCTTTAGAGAACGCTGATCCACACCAGCTCTTTAGCTAGCACAGATTAGTCTGTCTTTCCCAGTTTCACTGCAATGGCTGGTACATTGGTCCTTTTACTCCATTCTTTTCCACGCCTACTCCAACCATCCTTATGAGAGGACGAACAGCAATCTGGATTTAGATGCCTCTCCCACCACACGTCTGTGCATGCTCAGAGGAGAAAGTAGAGAATGCAGGACATTGGGTATTCAGCATAGCTCCCAGCTGGGACAGAAGATATTATTTCCATGTCGATAGTAGAATTAGTTCTGCAGTGACTATAATTTTACTCATCTATATTGAAGTGTATCTCAAAAAATGACAAGAAACCACAATGGTCCTTTTTTTATATAAAAGGATAAATAGAGCATTTTATTAACACTTTTTGCAGCAACAAAAGTGACACAGTCCACATCTTTTTCATTAAACACAGCAAAAGCTATGGTCACATTTTACATCACTTTGAGGCACAAAGCGAAATATTTTTTTCTTAAGGTCAAGGTATGATTTGCATTAAAAAAAAAGGAGAAGAAACAATCCTCAAGTTGTATATTGCGGTAGCAGGGTTTCCAATCACTAGCACAATACAATGAACAGACCAAGAGTCCAGAATGGATTATTACATACAATAATAATCATTGGATTGAATTAAGAAATGGATCATTGTTGTCGTTTTAGAGTATTAAGAAGTGGTCTGGTGTTGCTAACTTCAGTTTGGTTCAGTTTGCTTTAATCCCAACAACCCCAAATATATACAACAAGCTAAATGAAGGTTAATATATAGTCTAGAAGATTATGCACTTCATAATGCATTGCACTTATTGCTTGGTACACTAATGTTGCAGTCACTGTTGAGTTATGCTAAAAAGACAAGCGTGATGCTTGTTGGCTTCTTTCAACCCAACACTAGTTATTTGCCACTTTGGTTTGTTGTGAGTTTATATGTTACTCGCATTCAGTGTCCATCATTATTAGGTTTAATTGAAAGACAAATACATTTTTTATTTCTGGGATTTCTAAAATAGCAACATTTTCTATAGTTACAGTATCTTCAATAAACTTATATCTATGTATACAACTGTGGCACGATGTGTAAAAATATGAAAGCTATTAAGGGAAGAATAAGGGTTAAATTATTCTCTGTTTCTTCTATTGGCTTCAAAATATTCTGCAAAAGAAATACAACCTTTTCCATAGGGCTACTTGCTCATAGTAAATTTCTCTTTGGAATTTTGTAAAAGACTATATCTTTTTCTAGGTTATATTGTTTTTTTCTCTCTCTCTAAAGACACCAGTACAAAGCTGGAATATACTGCAAAGAAAAGAATAATAAAGCTTGTTTTTTTATAAAGGGATTTGACAGTCTGCATGAAAAGTCAGACTTAACATGATATATTGTTTTTATATTAGTTGATAAGTGCAGGGGAGAACATGACAATGCCTATAATTTCATAGGATTCTGTAAAGAATAGAACTAAGAATTTGTGCCCAAGCATTCAGTATAAAACTCCTAAATAATTCCTTTATTCATCACAGAGTAGCCTGCAGCATGTAATCACAATAAACATACAATATGCCCTATTTGTTCTTTAGGCTTGATACAATTTCCACTAAAGGAACTGGATCAATCCTCCGTAAATGCCTAGGACTCAACCTTTCTTCTTTAAGAAAGCTCTTGTCTTAGGCTAAACACACAATTCCTACATTGCACTGAGTAAACGTGTGTATTTAACACAATCTCTTTCAATACAGTGTAACAAATATATAAGTGCATTTTTAATGATCAAGTAATTTTGGCTTTCTAAAAAGAGCATTAGATGTGCCAACTTGGTTGCTTAGTTGTGCTTTAATCCTCAGTTATGAGTTTTAGCTCTTGTATACTGTAAGTATCTAATTGCCTCTATAGTTTTTACCAGTAAACCCTTAAAACTCTAATGTTTATAGAACAAATATAACCTAATGAAAGTGATGACATGTCACAACTCATACAGATTGCACTTTATGGATTTTTTTTTTTTTTTACAGTAAGACCTTCCTGTTTGATATGTGTTTACATGTTTATACCACATTTTATTTTTGTGTGCAAACAATCACAATGAATTTAATCACAAACACTACAAAATATACCCAATATTTAGGTTTGTTATGAATAATCTCCCTCCTTGTAGTTGTATGAGTCTTGTACTTCCTCTTGTACAAATTCCTCTTTTTTCTCCCAGCCATTAGGCCAGCCACCGTTGACCTGGGTTGTAGCACCATAAGACTTGGTGGTACCATAATTTACATAATTCTGAGTAATGTCCCCTGTCTCTTCAGCAAGTTCATCTTCATGAATAAAGCCACATTTCTCTTCACTTGTCTGTTCAGGGTCTGCCCAAGGTTGTTTCTCTCCTGAAGCAAATATGCCATAGAAGATAACACCTCCGTAATGAACTAAAGCAGCGATGAGGAAGACATACTGCCACTCTTCACGTGTCTGTAAAGGAGAAATTTGCTGTCAGACTAGTGCATAGACTCATCTCAGTCTTCTGAGCTGAAAGATTTAAATTAGGGTTTGAGGCTGTGATAGCACAGCTAAAACTTCTAAGCGTCCAGTTTTGAAATATTTGTATCCTTCTTCCTTTGAAAAAGGTTCATTAGCCTACAAAAGCGTTGACCTAGTCAGCATATTGTGAAGCATGCTTCAAATTTGCAAGTTCCTGGACGCTATCCCCTAGAGGTCCCAGCCTCTAATATGGATATTGTAGCACATTGGACTATGGAAAGGTCTTTTTCTTGAAACTAATAGTATTGAACTGGAAGATTTGAACAGTGTATTGCCATTTACCTTATTCTTTGTCATTGCTCCGACGATTATAGGGCAAACCATTCCAGACAAGGTCCCGACTCCATTAGAAATCCCCATTAAGATGCTGGCATACCTCGGGGCAATGTCTAAGTGGTTGACATTGAATCCTGCAATACAAAGGTCAGCAAACACTCATACCAAAAGCAGTGCATTGCTTCAGTTCTGAAAATTAATGCTATCACTTGACAATTTTACTATGACATAGTTGGGCTGTTTAATTGCATTTCTTTTCCTCTAAAAGGTTTAAAGGATTAAATATTCCTAGAGAGGCTCTGGGTTTTAATTTTCTCTTATTATTATTATTATGTTATAAAAGGGTGCATTTTATTATTATTATAATATTATAAAAGGGTACAAAATATATTCTCTTCCCAAAACCGCAGTCTTTAAAAAAAATCCCAGTAGTGACTGTGGAGTAGAGACCCCAGAAGATATTTAGGCATGAAGAAAGTTCATATTTCCACAGTGTCATTAATGAACATTTCATGCCGTAAATAATTCTTCTTCCAGCTTCTACCACTTCCCTTTCCTGTTGCCCACATTTTAATTTTTGTCACGCAGACCAGCAGAAGGGAGTTCCCTGCTGTTCTTGAGTGGTAAAAGAAAGGGAGTAAAAAGCTAGTATCTATAAATGATTTATTAATTATTTTTATTTTGTTCTCTTGCATTTCCAGCAGCTTAATTCTGTTCAAATTTATGCAGTAACTATTTAAATAATTGTGGAAGAAAAACATGCTTCTCTGAAGTGACAGAACTCGGTGTCCCCAAAATAAGGACAGATACCAAATCTTTGGACACAGAATAATAACAAAAAGGGAAAAGGCAGGCAATGTGATATGGATAGCTGTTAGAGAAAGTGAATACACTTTTCCAGTTGTACAAAACAGGCATGATACCCTGCAGAATGCGTGGGATGAAAGACAGTTTTGATTAAGCAGAGTTTAGATGTTTGGCACAAAAGGAAAGAGAGCCTGTTTTAGCCATAAGGAAGCAGCATGGGAGAGGATGCTAACATCACAGTGGGAAAACAAGGGAAGGCCAGGTGACTTGTGCTTGGGAAAGGCAAAGGCAAAGGGGTGATATGGCAGCAGGAAAGGAGAAGAGCTGAATTTGAAATCAGAAAAAAATTGCTAGTAATTAGGCCCCAAAGTAAGAAAAAAATGCAATACTAAGAAAGCATTAACTACTATACAGTAGAAAAAACCATTAGAAGGCCTATATCTAAACAAAAATACGTAAATTTAGGTATCTTTGTATAATACCAGTCCATTGGTGTTGTGTGTTTGATGTCAAGAAAAATCTATGGTGTACATTAGCACCTCACTGAAAAGAAAATCAAATTATCTGCAAATGAATATGGAAAAGATTGAAGTATTTCAACAAAAATAATCTAATATAGAAGATGTGGTACGGATTGTACTTTCCTTAGTAATGATCATAAATAGTGCCATTTGGAATGCTGTTTATATTTTTTTAATTTACTGTCAATGAATAAAAACCAAATGAGATGTTCTAACTCTTAAGATAAAATAATTTCCCAATACCAGGAAGATACTCTTACCAGATATGGCAAACCCACTAAAGCCGACAGCAAGCACTAAGAATGAAATAGCCACTCCTTTACTGTGAGAATATCCCACCACAAGAAGAAGAGTTGCTTCCATACCAAAACCTGGGAAAATCATAAAGAAAACAAGACATCAGATTCCATTCCCTCTGAAATATTGTAGGCTTTAGGATACGGTAATATTTCATAGGAAGGCAGAGGCAGAACGTTACTTCAGAGTGGAATATAGTCAGGTATTTCTTTCATCCCTAAAAAACAGATGTTCTTGCTATGTCATATAATCCTCATTTTATTCTCTGTATGCTAACTCGTTACTTCCTGTCAGTTTTAAGATGAAAAGAAATCTTTGTGATTTGGTTAGGTCATTGCAGCCAGCCCTAATGGGAATATACGCTTCACCTGCTTATGAATTTTGCAGCTCTTATCACAGCCAGGAGTCAGCTTACGTGACTTTAACCTCTCAGAAGTCAGATATGTAATCTCAGGTAGCTGTCTGGGCTCTCTTAACACAGAGGATGTTTGCACGAGGAACTAAGATTCAGTGGGTAGCTGAAGGTGGGGAAACTAACCCGCAATGCTCATCTGGTTCTTTAACAGTCTAAATCCTTTTCCAAATACAAACATCTGTCTTGACATTGGGAACAAGAAGAACTGTGTTTACTTTTATTTAGTAACTACACCTGTAATACACAAAAAATGCTCTGAGTATTGCTTCATAAGTGCATAAAACCATGCAGTATGTTTACACTGTATAGCATGTTATATGGATGTTGAATCTGTACAAGAAACTTTTTAATAAAATAGGAAGACTTACCTCCACAGTTCATTATCTTTCTCACAGTAGTGGTTGAAAGAATCTGCTTGCTTCTTAAAAAGTCTGCAATTTGTCCCCCAATAGGAACAATAATTGTCATCACTAAATGCGGCACAGCAGATAAGATACCCACCTAAAATAATCATTAGAAGTAGCAAAGTATAAACTGTAAGAAAATATTGATTCTTCATTTTCTGTAGCATTCAGCAACTAATTCATTGATTCTCTTCCATTCAGGCTATGCTCTAGAACTAAAAATCTTAACTTGGTTTATTAAATGAACAAAACTGGTGATCTTAAGTTGTCACTGCATTTTCTGAATAGCAGACGGAGTTTTTAAGAATCTCTGATGCCATGACACTTTTTGTTTATAGATTGTTTTCACAGTTTATATTTAAGCTAGTGGCTTTTTTTCCTCTGAATTTTAGTCCCTCTGTCCTTTCTGCCACCTGCGATCCCCTATCGACATAACTGCCTCGCAGGTAGCTTGGTTTAGCACTCATGGCATTCTGTTCTAATAGGGAATTCTGGTCATTGTGGATATCTGAAAAAGTGTTTAAGCACAGGGGTTTTGCAGAATTCCTGTCTGAGCAGTGTGTCAGCTGGCCTGATGTGTGACTTGAGTTACACCATTGTGCAGAGCAGACAGGAGCCATGAGAACAAAAAGAAAGCAAGAGTTCTCTACCCTTCAATTAAAGTTGTGAAAACATCTGTTTCACTGCAGTTCATATATGTGGTGACTATATTGTGACAGCTAGCTTCGTGTTAGTAGATGTTTCTCCCAATAATCCAGATAGTAACTAGGAGGTAACCATCGCAGTTCCTGCTTCGAGGTGTTCCTGACTAAATGACAACTGTTAATTTCTCAGCATCCATATCCACAGGAGATGAAAACTGACTTTGCTGCCATTGTTACAAAGCTCTGCATTTCTTTGAATACATTCTGAGAAAAATCTTCTAGAGCAAAATTATGAGATTAACTCTATAGGACACGACTGTTCTTATTGCATGCACAACAGGTTATGTTTCAAGCAAAACCAAGCTGCTTAAAATAACTTCAGCTAAAGACAGAAGCCCATTTTTCAGTGTAGGATGGCATTACAAAAGTTTGACAATACTCCATAATACAGCAACACTTTGGAAGCTGCTCATCTAACTGTGACTTACACTACAACTGAGGGTGACTTAATACCTCATGGAACAGCATCAAAAAAATACAGGTGTCTCAAAAACACAAGCCCCATCGCTTTCGCAAGAAGGAAATCTGTATTCATGGAAAGCTTACTGCACACTGCAAAGGCTTGTCTGCATGTATCCATACCCACATCACAGGTCTGAGCACAATTCATATGAATTGTGTGGAACCTTAAATCATCCCTAGGTCTCATATTTTGCCACCATCTCTTTCGCTTCTTAAGTGAAGAAGGGGAGCAGTTCTCACCACATTAAGGGCAGATATAGAACGGTGAGAAATTGTACTGTCCTTCCTAAAACTAGGTGGCCCTGCTTTGCAAAGTGCACCTGGAAAAATGGAACCAGTTGTCAGGGATTTCTTTACGGCTTCAGGGGGGTCTTGCATCCCCTGGGGTGTCAGGGACAGAAGTGGAACAGGTCTCTCGGTACCTTTCTAACACCTTGCATGATCTGGTTTCAAGCCCTTAACTGTAGGTCTTTCTGCAATATGGCCTCAGGCAGATCATTGCTAAATCTCATCCTGCCTTCATCTTCCCTATCCAATCCTTTATCATTCTTACTTTACTCATGTGTGCTGGTCAAGGGAACAGTAACTGGGAGCGATAAGATTTGTAAACCCATTACAAAGATGCAGAACGCTTTTCTTTCCTCCTCCTAGCAAATACCACAAATGTAGCTCTGATGTTTACTTAATTAAGATAAAAGCTTTACATGAGTTTTACATACCTTGCTTATTTCAAATCCAAACACTTCCTCAAAGTACGCAGGCTGACTAATAAGCAGCAAGTAAAAAGTCCAGCTTCTACAGAAGTTTGCAACAATTATTGCATAGACTGGCATAGATGTAAAAAATTTCCTCCATGGAGTTTTGTATTTCTGAAATGTAGAAAGGGGGATGTGGTCAACATTTTGATCATTACCAACTCCTAATCTTATCTTTTCCTATCTGTTATTTTTACCCATACTCTACCAAGGTCATATATGCACAGCTTTATGTATCTGAGTTCCAATTACTTCAATTATCATAAAGTATGTGCATCCAAGTTTGGATGATAAAAATGTCATTTTAAAACATAAGCAAGTAAAGATTACTGTAAAATGCACAAGCGGAGAAGCACAGTGATACTTAGCTGTATCACAACATTTGTGCGCAAGTGCCATTATCTCGGTCATAGAGACATAAACATACTAAGTCCAAAAGAATATTGAGTCTTTAAAAGACAATGTTGCTGTATCTGAGGCAACAGTCATATTTTATACTGTAATTGCACTATTTCATCCAGATTTATTTAAAGCGTGTATTTTTAGCATTTAAATACTAATCCCAGAATTCTAAATTTTTTTTTCTTGTCAAACCTCAGCTGAAACTGCTGGGTCAATAGATTTTTTTGTTTGTTTATTGTATTTTTAAAATGAATTGCATAATGAAAAAAACAAGACAGATGGACAGAGCTACAGTCCTTCTGAGTCCCAGCACCTGTCCGTGAGCCCAGGGTTCTGCCCATCTGTGTTGATCCAAATACAGGATCTAGATCCAGATGAGTGTTTGAAAATCACTGCACCAAGGATTCAGGCTGAATTTGGTGTACTGTTGATTTAAATACTGGCTTTTCTTCAAAGAAAAAGAGCCCATGGATGGATGTATACAATACCTTCTATACCTATTAAATGACACTTAAGTGACAGCTAAGGATTAAGTGTGACTTAAGTAATGAGAAGCCAGCCAGAAAACCTAAGTTGATACTATGGGAATTGTTTGAAACATGATTTTCTCTCTTAAAGAAGAAGGGTGCTCGATTTTTGTTGTTGTTGTTTTATTTGAGTTTTTTGGGGTTTCCTTACTGTCTCATAGGAAATAAATGTATGAGTAATGTTCTTACTTCCATTGCACCTAGGAGGTTGGCACTCTCTCCAATGCTTTCTTCTATGTATCTCCTCTCTTCATCCGTGATCGTAGGATGCTTTGCAGGACTCTCATATGAAACCAAAAGCCAAAACATATACCAGACTATACCAAAGCTCCCTTTGGAAGGGAAAGAAAAACTTTAAAAAGAAATGTAAAGCAGCAAACAAGGAAAAAATCTGTGAACAATTATAACAAATTTACATGGCAGTTGTTGTTAATGCTTCTCTACTGAGTTGTTCTAACAGAGAGTCGGATCTTGCAAACAATATTTGCACAAAATACATGCAGAGCTGGACCACAGTAAAGCCTTCTCATTTACATAATGATTGCGTCATAAGTGAATATTCACTGGTATTTTAACATCAATTTGTACGGTGGAATGCAGTGAAACAGCTTCCATTTCCTTTCACCAGACTGTAAATGAAGCTCCATTCTGCTTTAGGCCACTGTTATTCCATTACTGCACTCATTTTTTTACTTGCAAAATACAAGATTGAGGCATTGTTTTCAACATAGCAATGTGCTTCCTGAGTGGTTTATTAAATTTCTATCAGGTTTCCCCCTAGTTCGCTTCAGTTTTACACTTCAGAATGAACTCCTTTTGGACATTCTTTTTTATCAGTGTAAGCTGAGGCAGCACAACTAGTGTGAATGAAGTTATGCAGGTCTTCAGATAAAAATCAGGACATCTTAGTCAGGGCAGGTACTCTAAACTTACAGTTGTATAAATGAAAGAGCAAAGTTCCATGATCTGAGATTCTATAGATTTGCATAGCGGTTTGCACTACTTGTACTAGAATTTATGACGGTTTCACCACGAACTAGCTTCTGTTGTTATTTAATAATCTCATTTTCCTGCTCTCTCCTTTAAATGCTCTTCTTTCATTGTCCTTTTCTCTAGATTGTATTTTTAGCTTTATGGACCCACTTCTCTCTTTTGTTTTCTTTGTCCTCTTAACAGTAGCTTTTATATTTTTAGAAAGGGTAGAGTAAGGTCATACAATATTGGAGTGAGATGAGCAAAAGTGCGTACCGTACACATAGAACACAGAAGACCACCCAGTATATTGCACTAGAATTCCCGCTAAAGGCATTGCGATAACAGCTCCTGCATAGGAACCTACAAAACAAGACGTGGGGACGAAAAGGGAGAAAAATTCAGTCTCAAAATACATTTAGGTTACAAATAAAAGGAAGATAAAAAGAGAAAGTTACTTACCACAAAAGGAAGTGGTTGCTAACCTACTTCTTTCTAATGGGGGGGCCCACTTGCTCCAAATACCGTGGCAGGCAGGGTAGGTGACCCCCTGGGGAATGGGTGTGCCACAGGTTAGCTAATGTTGGTCAATCATTCAGTGCATTGTCTTTGCATGATTGTTTTTAATTGTTACAAACAAGAAGTTGAGAATACTTTGCATTTCTACAGCAGTCTGAACACAGCCATAGAAAAACTTCTGTTAACTTTGAAATGGGTTTTGTATATCACTCCAAGTCATTAAAGAGGCCTTATGAAGCAGATACAAAAGATAATTATTTCCTTTTGCTCCCCCTCCCCCTCCAAGGAAAGAATTGTGAAGAATTAAAATGAAAGGATCTTAATGCGCGAGTACCAGAGTCAGAGGAAGGATGAAAACACAGACCCTCTGGAATCTTTCTAGTGCTGGGCTCATTTCACCAACCCTCAGTTTGAGTGGCCTTCTAACTTTTTTTGGTCTAACATTCAAAGTAGAATTTAGGAAATACAGATTACTGTTCCACTGCTCTAAACCTAGAAAATAAAATCAATAAGATCTTAAAAATATGTTAAGAGGGAAGTTTTCACTGTCTTTGTCTTTAATGAACCTTCTCGAGCACTTAAAGCAAGTAAGAGAATGACGTTAGAAAAAAAAAAGTCATTGCATACTGCAGTGTTGAACTTTTAGAAAAGGTAATATGGAATACACAGTATTCCTGCACAGGCAGATCACTTTTCAGGAATGGATCCAGATTTATACACAGATGCTTTAAGAACTTGATTGATGGTTACCTAACTTCCAGGCACACTCTGTACCCCTTTTGGATTCTTTCTGTACAATGAAGTGCACGAGTTAAGATCAGTTCATGCAACAGAAGTGTGTAGCCCTGAGGGACAATGAACCAGCAATCACAGCCCTAAAAATCTGTCTTTCAGTAAAAAAACAAATAAACAAATAAATAAACTTAGAAGGCAGACTCAATTTTTTTCTCTTTTAATCTAGGTTAAATCTCTCATTCATTCCAACAAGAGCGGGGTCAGGGCCTATGATAGAAGCTTAATTCTTTATTGTAGACTTAATCTGTGAGGCTGGACAGCAAATAACTGTTGAGAACGGCACCAGTACAGGATTTCAGTGAACTTGCAATGTTAAATACATATCTCACTGGCTTCTCAGCAAGGAAAAACTTTGCTATGTAATTTTACAGATGAAGGAAAACCAAATAGCTGTAATTCATACATTGAAATCCATTACACTGCAAATCAGTGACAAACTGAAAGCAGTTTTTATTTTCCTCTGGAAGGTTACAGTTGCTAATTAAAAGCTAACAAGCATCTGTCACATTTACTGGTTATTTTACAGTTTTTCCATACCTCTACAAGGCCTTGCAAGATCCTAACGAAGATGACACACCCATAGTGCACCCTGGCTGCAGATGGTATTAACATGTTGAGGGAGGATGTCAGCAGTATAGCAGCACCAAATACTCTGCAAAGGTGAAAAAAATAAAAAAAAAAAAAAAAAAAAGAAAGGAAGTAACCATCAGTGTTATTCCAGCTGACTTATTCCACATATGCTCACATATCAATAGAGATGTATTTAAACACATGTTCTTTATGTAGGGAATACCCTAACTGCTGGACTGGATTAGTGTCTACTTCCATCTAGTGTAATAACCTGTCTGATAAGACCCAGACCAAACATGGACATATACATCTAGTTAGCACAATTTCCTAAGGAAATACGTCTTGCGCAATCACAGGTATGATCTTACTCTCCC